GATCCCCCTCACCAATTCATGGTATGCGGTCCTTCGATGAACGTACCAGTGAATTGAAGGAGAGTCATCCGACGCCTCAGTTCACACAAGTATGGTCAGGGGAGGCCACACAAGAGCAAACACATCGATCCAGGCACAGGCAGTATACCCCCACCAACCATACCCCGTTCATGCCCAGACATGGGGCATAGTTCAGGGAGGCAACTCCCGTGATGAACCCGTTGGTAAAAGATTCCAGTATGTTGAAGGGGATGAGGAACGTTTGATACAGAGACGTCGTGAAACGGTTGCACCCGAATGGAAAGAATGCCAGAGATGGTAGACCTGGTGACACCACCCCAAACGGCACAGGACGCGGCGTTGGCCGCCATGCAGAGACAGATTGAAAAATTTACTCGTCAGCAAAACAGAACGCTCCCACCGCCTCGTGTGGGGATAACTTCTCCTTTCACTAGATTGATCATAGATGTTGAGATCCAAAGGGACAATAGGCCCCCGATCAGCCTGGTGTATAATGGGGTTGGAGACCCTAACGCAGACTTAATGAGCTAGCAAGGAGGACTCATGCTATTAGGGGCTTCTGAGGAGGCCATTTGCAGATTGTTTTTTAGCACTGCTCACTTTGAGGGCATGCTCAAGAATGGTTCAGCCAGTTCCAGTTATTCAGTACTTGAGTCATTGATTTCTTTTCTTAGTCACCTTATATTGATAAACACTTCTGATATTCAAAGGTTTTTGTTGGGCCTTTGGATCTGTAACACCGTCCCCAAAAAGTATTTACTTTTTTTTTTTTTTTTGGTGACTAAAAACAAAGTAGAATAATGTATTGAATAATGTATTGAACTTATGGAGTGGTTAACGAGTATACGAAGTTGTGAATTTTTATTAATTCTTTTGCGTGAATAGTAAATTCGCACATGGGACCCACACTGGGGGCGGGGCCGCCCGATTCTCCCGAGACCGAATATTTTATTCAACTTGGTCGAAATAAAAATTATATAGAGGGGGATAATTTATTTGGTCCAAAGTAATGACATAATGCAGACCGATTGGTCAAAAACGGTTCAATTACCGGTATCGGTAATTTAACGGATAATAGCCCGAAATTGGATTTTGGAGACCTATAAATTAAAGTTGGGGAATGTATATTCACTATGAGGGTCGTAACGATTGAGAACACATAATATGTTTTATTTGACTCGATAAAATAAAATATATTTAAAACAGTCCGGAAAATACAACTTTCGGGACCGATTGTACACTTCTGGACAAAAAGGGTTGACCTCCCACATGTGTGGGGGCCAACCCACGAATTTGGTCACCCAAATGTGATGGTTGAGATGATGTGGGAACATGGGAGATGTGTGTGATGTACGTGAAGGGAAAGGAATCAAACAAAAGAAATGGGGTGGACCTCTCCCCACACCCCCATTCTATTGAGACAAAAGAAAATAATCACTCCCTCCTCCCTCACCCCTGCGGCCAGAACTCAAGCAAGAAGCAAAGAAGAATTTTCCATCCCTATTCTCCATTGTTGAAGAAAGCTCCAACAAGAGGGAAGCTCTAGGGATAAGTTTAAGTTCCAAAGTGTACACAACTTGAGGAAAAGCTAGGTAATGACTTCATTTACCTTTTCTCCTATTTTTCTTGAATATATTATTATTTGAGAAATTATGAGAAACCCTAGGATTGTTCTACATGTTGATAAATGTGGAACAAGGGATTGGAAGGTGGTTCTATGTCCAAAAATGGATTTAGAAGCCAAACCGACAAGTTCACCGGAAAATGACCTTTTAGGGGTTATGTGTATTGATTCAGGTTTTATGATGTTAAAACCTTGTTAGGATCTTGATTTAGAGTATCTTTGAGCTTCGCCAGAGTTTCGCCGGAGTTGGTCAAAGTTGGCCGGAGTTGGTCAAAGTTCGCCAAAGTTCAATCGGGAAACGTAGATCGTGCCTAAACTCACTTAAGGTGAGGATGACCGACTATATTGCTTATAATTTTTGGGTTAATTTCATAAGATTTCCTAAACGAATATACAATGTGATTTGCATGGATTGTTAATAGTCATTAATGCCTAAATGAAATTACTATTGATTATAAGTATAGTTTGCATAATATACAAATTCATTGAATAAATTGTGTATGTTTATATGTTATGAATATGATGGCATGATAGTAGTATCAACCATAAATTTCATTTGTGATAAGTATGCTTTTTAATTCATAAGAAGAAGCCATGAAAGAATAAAAGTGATACTTTGATATTAAGGTCAAACTACATATTGAATGAAGAATTACATTGAAATGAGTAAATAACTAGTATTGAAATATTAGTTGGGATTGTAGCGGAATAATGGATGAACGGATCCTAAGAAATTTAATTGTAAAGAATCGGTGATTATTGAGCTGGGCTCTAGACCGATGTAGATAACGGTGATTATTGAGCTGGGCTCTAGACCGTGATAGTTATCGGTGATTATTGAGCTGGGCTCTAGACCGATGTAGATAACGGTGATTATTGAGCTGGGTCTAGACCGTAGTAGTTATCGGTGATTATTGAGCTGGGCTCTAGACCGATGTAGATGACGGTGATTATTGAGCTGGGCTCTAGACCGTAGTAGGTAACGGTGATTATTGAGCTGGGCTCTAGGCCGTGGTAATAAATGATGAAATGACACTAAACGAACAAAGTTAATCATGAGATAATAACACCCTAAATTGAGGGTCTTGGAAATTGAAACATTGATTATACTTAGTATAGTTGTCATTGTACTTGTCAAATGCTTCCAAGTACTGACCTCCCCTTCACGGGGGAGGCCACCTCACAGTTTCAGGTAGGAGCTGAGCTTGCTACCAGTGCCCGTTGCTCCGGGTGAATTCGAGGAAGGAAGGCGTGGTTCGTGCTTCCTCCGTTCCTGTTTTAAAAACATCTAAATTAATGCTCATGGATATTATATTTTTGAATAATCATTTGAGGGCTTGTATGCCCATGTTTGCCAGAATGTGGCACGAACACTTGTATTAAATGTTTCCGCTGCTTGAATGAATATTTTACATTATGTTTGTTTATGGATGTACTATGTGTGAATGATATTCCAGACGCCTTGTATAGTATGGATGTGTTGGACTGCGGTTGACTATTCGTACTGTACGGCGGGTTGTTGACGTGTCCGGTTAGGTCCGGGGCGTGACAGGATCTACCAGGGTTAACCTCAACATTATTTAAACATGTTTCCGGTCTATATTATCTAATAAAAAGAGCATAATTTTTATATATAATATAACTCATAGTTGCATCCAATTGAAATTAATATATTTTTACCTAAACAAAAAGAAAATGCTTAGTGTCTATTTTTATCCATTAAGTTCCATTCGTGACTTGTTTTTTTGGTAAACTAATTAAATACACATTTTTGTAATTTATTTATCTAAAATTGGGTGTTGTCATTTATTCTTAAGATATTAGTCCTTCTAGGTTTTAAATTTCATAACTTTTTATTATCTTTCATATGACACCAATATTGAGTATATAAAATACTACCTCCGGTTTTTTTTAATCTTCACAGTTTGACTTCACACAAAATAAGGAAAGAAATTTGACTTTACTGTAGAGTACAGTGTTGAGGCACTGTTTGACACTGTTTGGCACTGAAGAGACACTGTTTGGCACTATTGAGACACTGTTTGGCACTGTTTGGCAATGTTTTGATGTAGATTTCTTTCCCAAAAAAGGAAATAAGGAAGTGTGAAGTTTATTTTAGACCGTCCCAAAAAGGAAAGTGTGAAGTTTATTAAAAACCGGAGGGAGTACAAAATAATTTAACAATGGAGTACAGATAAAAAATGTATTTTATGTATCTAATATTGGTGTAATTAAAAGATAATAAATTTCCATATAGTATGCCCCGTTCGATAATAATGTATTGGAACAATAATAACATACTGAATTAGAAAAAGAATTTAGAATATTATAATTAATGTTTGCTTAGAAAATGATACTACCTCCGTCCCGTTGGAATGTTCCCGTTCGGTTTACGATGCTTGACTGACGATAAAGCAACTCGATCCCTGTTCACACTCCGCTTATTTTTAGTAAATAAAATTTACATATTCAGAAATTACATTAAAACCGCTTCAAAGCCTGGTTAAGAAAAGTTCAATTTGATAAAAATTTGATATATAAAGTAAAAGATTAGGAGTGACCTAAGTTGACCAATGAATAGTGAACGGGAACATTCCAACGGGACGGAGGGATTACATGACAAAATTTTCTATAATTGTATCTTTGAGATAGATTATGTATAGATAGATAGATATGACATTCTAGTGATGGAGCATATATGTGATTCCATATTTTTTTTTGTCGTATGTGTCTGACATTTCTATTTTAAAAAATGAAATTGTTGAATTAGTCATAGTTTGAGGTCAATGGGACAACGTTTTCCTCAAAGCATCATTTTCTCATTAGACGTCAACCATCAATCCATTATCCACACTAAAGCAGCAATCCATTATCCACACTAAAATTAGGCGGATTAATAGAGTGTAACCAATATTTTTCCTTTCCTTAACGTTGACTTCCCTGCTCAGATTTAGGTTCCTAACTTGATGTCAATAGATTTTATGTATACTGAGTATGTTTTTGTGTTGAGTTTGTAAGTTGTCATCATAAAAATGTGAGCTGAGCACTTATATAGTGGGGTAAGTGGTTATTACTGTTGTAAGGGGAAAAAATCTTTAATTTTACTTCAATTCGCAAATATAATAAAAAGCGTGAATTTAATTTATCGACTCTTTGAGTATAAAAAATGGCCCAATGTTGACCAAATTCACATATAAAGCTAATTAAATTTTAGTTGAAAATAAGAACTTACATTTTTTAATAAAAGAGTAAAAGCAATTAAGATTCTTCTTTAAGACATCGAAACTTAAAGTAGTCCTACTCTAAGAAATATAATGATACATATGGATGCACAGACAGATGGTTGTACCATCATTTTAGAAGAAAAAAATACTAGTCATATATTGAAAAAGATAATAGTATGAAGTACATGATGATTGTCTCAAAGTTCAACCCTAAAAAGGATATTTTCTACTCTCATCTTTTTAGTTTTAATTATTGTAAAAGCTTAAAGGTAAATTCTATGATACCTTGAAGGTACCATACCTTTATTTACATGAAATAATCATAATGTTGCGGTACCAATCAAATGAGTAGAATGATTTGGACCAATTAAATGAATGGTAAGTACAGTACCACATTTTTAAATGACAACCGTAGTTTTCACACCAATTTTGAAACATGAATTCTAATTTTGGTGCTTTACTCGGTAAATACAATACTCGGTATGTCACTTAATCCATAAGTTGATGTATTCTTTCATTTGGGTTGGCTTGTTGGAGTGCTTGAGCCAAGTTTTGGAGGCACCTGTTTGCAGCGTCATGATGAAGACACGAGGAGGATGTCATGAGCATGAGGTTTTCAGCAACATCCGCAGGTGTGATCTTATTGGTCTCCTTCATGAGCAACTCCTTGATGGATTCAAACATGGGGTGATCTTCCAGTTGGAGGTAATTCCTGGCTAGCACTTTGAATCCCTCAAACGTACAATAAGACAGCTCGATGTGCTTGTCCATTCTCCCCCTCCGGGTTAGGGCCGGATCTAATTTCTCCACGTGGTTAGTAGTGAATACAATTATCCGCTCCTCGCTGCACGAGGACCATAACCCGTCTATGAAATTCAGCAACCCCGACAATGTCACTTTACTCCCGCTGTTGTTGCTCTTGTTGCGGGCAACAGAGGCATCCTCGGTGGATGCCTTGTGTTGCATCATTCTATTTCCAGTGAGGTCGAGCGAGCAATCAATGTCCTCGATCACGAGGATGGATTTGCCCGTCGTCTCCGCCAGGAGCTGCTTGAGGTGAGTGTTGTCACTCACCGAGGTCAGCTCCAGGTCATAGATGTCATAGTGAAGCAAGTTGGCCATTGCTGCGATGAGAGTGGATTTCCCGGTTCCGGGAGGGCCGTGGAGCAAATACCCGCGCTTCCACGCTCTCCCGATCCTCCGGTAGAAGTCCTTCCCCTCCTTGAATGCCACCAAGTCCTCCACTAGCTCCATCTTTTTCTTTGTATCCATCGCGAGATTCTCAAAGCTCGCGGGATGATCGAACGGGACATGCTTCCACGGAGCCTTCCCGGACCCGCCATTTGTGAACAACATTTGCTTCCGACACCGCGCCTGCCACTCTTCCCCGGTTCTTATCACATGATCCAGATACGAGTCTGTGATCAAGTCCCGGTACTTCTTGTGGAAAATGAGATTGTAACACCTCTTCTCCGACGGCTGCCACGGAGACTCCTTGAGTTGCGGTGGCGGTTTTCGGGAGGCAGAAACCCACTCTACGCTCGCCCCGCGGAACTCGTCATCCACCCTCTCATCGGCATCTATGCTCAACGTGAGGAGCTGCTGGTTCTCACCGCCGCCCACCATCTGAGCTTTGAGTCTGTTGACTTCTTTGACGGACTTGATAGAGCTGAGGTAAGCCTCCACCGCCGCATAGGCGGCGTGAGGCCCCATATTCTTCTTGATATACTCGTCGATTGAGATTTGTACGTAGGGGTTGAAAAGCACACTCCACTTCCGCGTCCATCTCTTCACGATGTTAAGCAGCCCCGGCGGCAAGTATTTCCGTACAATCTTCCAAACGAAGAGGAAGCTGGCAATGGCGGCGCCGGCGTTCCTCCACCTCTCAACTATCATCCTGACCTCACAATCTTCTTCTTCTGATATCCCTTAAATCCTTTTCCGGCCCGGCCGTCCTTATTATTACTGAGGAGTAGTATTTTTCTTTTCTTTCACCGGGTTTGATCCATCGATCTCCTTTGTGTCCGGTCCATACTCCGTTTGCAACCCGACTACTTATATATTGTTTGAAATTCTACGGATCATGATGCTTTTTATGCGTCTCATTTCGAGGAAACCATAGGATTAAGGAAGTTATAATTATTAAAACACGGATGGAGATCAGAATAATTTTAGATTTTTAGTCATTGGGAAGTAATACTCCCAAATTGATTTGTAAATTTGACTTTTCTTGGTCAAACAGTTTTGTTTTGTTCGCTTAATTAGGATGTCAATTTTTAATTATATTCTAATTTGATATAAATAACTTTGAAGAGATTTTAATGTAGTTTATAAATATGTAAATTTTAATTATTAAAAACTGAGTTAATTATCCGTAAAGATGGTTGACTTTTACTATTAGTTGACCAAAAAATGTTGACTTTGCAAAACATATTGGGAGGGAGGGAGTAATTAATACGGATACTACGTCTCTAAGTTGTCATCAATTACGTAGTAGGAAGTATATTTTTATGACCTCACTATGACTCATTAGTAAGACATAATTATCCGGTCTAAAACTTTTTCATTTTTTCAATCTATAACCTAACTAGTTTTTTTTTACCAAAATAATATTAAAATTCATAATATTTAATTAAAATTCGTAATAAATAAATAAATAAATAAATATGTTAGGTGAACAAATATGTCCTTTAGGTTATATCTATAAAACCCTAGGTTCCTACTCTTTTCTCCAACCCTAGTCTCCATTCTCCCACCTCCATAGATCCACCTGGCAGCCACACGACCCTGCCACGCGCCGTTGCCCCATAGCCCTAGTCTGCCGCCGCACCATGGCACGTCGTCTACCACCATCCAGTATAGCCAATTGAAAGTTTACTGCACTGCACCCCACTCCACTGCTAGGCCGCATCACTAATTTTCCGCATAAGTAGAAGTAGCCATTGTTATCGCTGGAGAAGTTGCTGCGTGGATAGAAGTTAGTTCGATGCGTGTGTTATGATAGAATTTTGACTAAAAAGTAATTCTATTTTGTTTTTAACTCATCCCATCATTTATTAAGATAGAAAGGGGACTGACTTTTCATCCGTATTGTGTCAGAATATTTTTTGGTTTTATTAGAATTCATTCGAATTTTGCCACACCCAAGTTGCTGTTGTTGTTGATGGAATGTTATTTCGGTGGAATAGAAATCAATTCCATAAAGCTTGATATGCCAAGGAAATCATGGAGATTGGTTATGGGCGGCAGTGATTGAAATTTGGGATCTGTAGTGCAGCCGATAATTGACAAGCCAATAATTTTTTGTTCAGTTTAAACTAGACAGAAATCAGGGTTTGGGGCATTGAAAATGGACATTGAACATTGGCATCGAACATGTCAATAAGTGTTGAGTATAGGAAATGAATATGGAAATAATGAGTGCATTGAGGAAGTTTGTTGAGCATTATATTGAAATGCAATATACTTAATTAGGTGTAAAATAATAAAATTATTAAATCAAAAAATAAAAAATAAAAAAATAATTTCCTAAAGTAAATGTGAAGAGAATTAATTTTGACGGAAGTGCAGTGATGTCGTGCAGTAATGTTGTGCAGTAACGATAATATAAAGTGCAATAATTTAATTGGACGGAATTAGTGCAAAATGCACATATTTTAAACAAGAGTATTTTGGTCATTAAACATGAACAAATTTTTCATTTTTTGAAAGATTTTTTGTCATACAAATGTCTAAAAACTAAGTTAGTCATATTTAGAAATGAAACATTTTTTTCACATTTTGAAAGACAAAGTTAATCGAAATCCTTATTTCAACTTACGTAGTAGTTTTGAGTCGAATCGATTTTAAACTGAAGTCAACTTTGTAAGAAGTTTCACTCCGGGTGTGACGCGAAGTCAACTTTGTAAGAAGTTTCACTCGATCGGGGTGTGATGAGTTCACTTTTTGTAAACGGGTTAATTAATTATTGAAATGGCATCCCACGGGTAAAATGCATAAATGATACCTTAACCATCGGTAATGTTGCATTTTGGTACCTTAACTTTTAAATGAATCAAAACGGTACCTTAACTACACATAAATGTTTCGAGTTGAAATTTTATTTAAATTTCTAACCACAAAATCACACGTGGCGACCAGAATTCTATGTGTAAAGTCTACTTCACCTTATTTTTGTCCATATGATCATTATAGGGTGATTCTACACATTTGATCGTCATATATTTTGGTTGAAAATTTGAGTAAAATCACAATTTGAAACATTTATGTATAGTTAAGGTACCGTTTTGATTCATTTAAGAATTAAAGTACCAAAATGCAACATTACCGATAATTAGGGTACCATTTATACATTTTACCCGTGGGATGCCATTTCAATAATTAATTAACCCGTTTACAAAAAGTGAACTCATCACACCCGGAGTGAAAGTTCTTACAACTTTATTAAGCTCTCGAAAGAAATTTTAATAGTCAACCACATACTCCGTAATACTTTTAATTGTATGCGCGTATGTTGACAAAAATACAATTTTAGTCCTGTAATTTTCAATTGTGTCTATTTTTAGTTATGTAACTTTGCTCAGTTACAAATTTGATCACATAACTAATTAATACGAGTATTTGCAGTTCAATTTAATGACTTTTTAAACGAAAAGTACACTCTCTGATCATAAATACGCCGCAAAATATATCACTGGCTTTGAATTCTCTGTTAAAAAGTATACTTTTCAATGGAAAAATCATTAAATTGTTACGATCAATTCAAGGAGCAAATGTGCAATCAAGTGAAGTTATAGAACTAATTAATAACAGACGCAGAGACACACATGAAATTTATGAGACTAAAATTATAATTCTCCCCAATTTTAAATTGAAGTCACATTTTAAACTTAGTTTTATAAGAAATTTCACTACGGGTATTTATCAGTAAACTTTTTGTATGCGGGATAATTATATATTCAAATGTCATCCCAACTTTTATCAGTTTGACTTATATGTGTATGTATCAATATTTCATTTAGTTACCCATACATATTGTTGGGATATTAGGTCCAGGCCCAATATCCCTAGGCCCAAATCCAGGAAGAAGCAGCAGGCCCAAGGCAGTCCAAAGAATTCCCGAACAGCATTCGGGATAAAGCTTTTACTTGGAACATTCCAGAAAACAATTACGCCAAAGTGTCAATGCCCAGATCTCGATCGGCGTTCGGGATACTTCCATAACAAGATAACACCTGTGGCGGGGTCCCACACACCGAACACCCTACCCGAACGGGCAGTCAACAAGTTGATGCTGCATTTAATGCTAAAGTATGGCGGTAGCAAGTGGAAGCATGGGTTCCTACGTGGCAGGGGATGTAACCTACTTGATTCAGCCACGTGTCCAGCTTTCCCATCCCCATTTTAGTATAAATACCCATGTTTAGATCATTGTAAAGGGTTAGCATTTCAATACTCAGAGAGCTTAGCAATAGATTTACATCTCTTATCCTTGTATTCTCATACTCATCTACCGTTCGGGTAGTTCCATTGTAATAGCATAATTACTGAATACAAGTAAGCTCCTGAGTTGGATAATATCTCACTGTTTTATATTTTATACACTTTTCAACCCAACCCAATATCCCTACAATATCCAAAGCTTGTGTTGGGCTTTCGGATCTTCGGGAATAAACCTCAACATTGGCGCCGTCTGTGGGAACTCTACTAAAAGCCCCAAGCAAGACCTTTGATCTAAGTACCATTTTTTGAAATGGCTAGAATTACAACCGCGACACCGAGTTCTACATCCAGAGGCCGAGGAGGCAACGGGTCCTCTGAGGGATGGTCCATGCAAGGAAAAGCCAGTGGCAGTGCCACTCGGGAGTTTGAGGGTATCATCCCTCCGGATGTGAGGAGGAACCCTCAGTTGATGAGGGAGATGGCAGAGGCTATGCAACGCATGGCGGATGAACAGGAGCAGGGATATACCGACGGGACTCATGAGCCCTTATCCCCTGTTCGTCCCATGTCATCCTTTGACGAAGGGGAAGACACTGAAACCACCACGGCTTCAGCACATTCCCAGCAGTATCGGGGAGATCAATGGAGGACCAACATCCCCAGATACGCACCACCAACCAGCCGAACCCCATCCGCACCTCGGAACGAATACAGGGAACCTACCCCCATGGTAGACCCCGTTGGACAACACTTCCAGTATGTCCAGAGGGATGGAGATCGGCGGGGAAGTCAGAAGGTTGCATCGAACGGCCCATGTGTTTTTCTAGGAGGGGGAGGAGAGGCTGAAGCATATGCTGGCACCCGGAGCCATAGACCCCTCTAGCCAAGATCTCGGCCCATTCTTTGGTCACCGGATGCTTGTCGAGGATGTTCACCCCCTCCTTCTGGCGCTCCTCGCCCTTCAGCTTAGCCAGGTGCTCCCCGAACAGAGTGGGGAGTTGCTCAAAAGCATAGGTCCGGAACTCTTCCGAAGTCTTGAAATTTTCCCGGACGGTAGAAAGATCGGCAATCACCTCAGGGGGGCCGTCCGGGATCTGAGAAGAAGATACTGCAAATTTCACCTGGGCGGACTCAGCAGCCGCCAGGTATGACTGAAGGGAAGCCTCACACGAAGCTCCCCGAGCTCGGCTTCCAACTTTTTCTGGACCTCGGCAGCTGCTTGCCGATCAGTCTCAGCCGCCTGATTAGCGGAGGAGAGGGAATGTAGGGCTTCCTCCCTCGCAACAATGAGCTCCCGCTCCTTGTCCAGCCGGGCTTCACGGATTTTCAGACTATATAGCCCCACCTGCATATAGTCGAACAGAATTAGACAAATGAACATTCAAAAAAGGAAACGGCAACGGGGGAACCGAAATAGAAAATTACCTTGAGAGCAGCCAAGGCAAGGCACTCTTCAGCCTCCTCGACCGGGAGCTGGGGGAGGACGAAATCATTGAGGTCAACAGACGTTGACCAGATCCGGCTTGCCGGACAACCACCCCGCTCTAGCATGTCATGAGCAGGGTCCTTGAGCGAGATCCTCTGGAACTGCCTGGCCAGCTCCGATTGGTGGGCTGCCACGTCCTCG